AGCATTACACTTCATTCAACATCTAGATTTGGGGTTCAAGGCACGTGAATGCATTGGTCATTCAAGACAGGTTGCCAAAAAGGATGAACAAAAGTCCTCCCTCTTTTGCTATCAGCTAGAAAGCAGCTGGTTCTCATTTGAGTAAGAGTCCTTATTTCCACATCTATCTTTTCTCTTACATCACATGAATTTGCAACTCAGTTACAGAAAAAAAAAAAGCTGTGAAAGGATAGTTCATTCCGAGACATATAACATAGAAATATAACGGCTCCTTTCAGTCTGTGCTCACTTTGTGTTGAGCCAAAGTTGCTCCATCTGTATAAGCCAAGCAGCCAGTATAGCTGGGAAACTCCAAGAGAAATGGATGTACTATTTAAGTTCAGACAATTTGATAACTGACATGCTTCTCTGATTTCGAACTCAAGTCAACAGCGTGGCATGACGCTGTCTCTTCACTGCAAACAGCTTTCTCCTTCCTCAGATGGTGTCCAGCATATTTATGAACATAATCAAAGAATGAGCATGATAGGAACCATCACATGCAAAATACGTAGAGCTATTTTTATATGTAAGTTGGCTGTTTGTGTTTCTTCATATCCATTTAACTCATATGCTTTTGGAGGAGAAAATGTTATATTCCAGGTCTGATTCTAAGCAAAGAAATAGAAAAACTCTCCACTCTGCTACATCCCAAGGAAACCGGGAAGACAAGATTTGATGGCATAATAAACACAGCTGGAGGCAGAACAAAGCAGTGCTGGCATTTTTCAACATGAAAGATGACAACTTTTCTCAAATGAAATTAGGGCTTCCACTTACTCTTGTGATGCTTGGAAAATCTGCATTCACTATCCCAGTTTTTTACCCTCCCAGAAGGACAGACGGTAACGAGGTACCCAGCTCCCAAGGGCTTTCAAAGAGACTGAGGCACCTGCCTCACGTTTGTTCAAGACTTCTTCCTCCATTTCTTTCCAGCGATGACAAACTGCACCCAAAGCAGGAGATTCCATTTGCCACTTTGCTGCCGGGTTGCAGTTTGCCCTCGCGTAAATTGCTCAACCTTCGTATTCCTCTCTTCAGCCTCCATCTGTGCAGTAAAACACCCACCCTATTACTAAAATATTTACAACTTTTTAAAATGCGTTGAGCCTGCACTAGAGGTACATTATAAATGCATGCATATCTGAATTACCAACAGTCAAAAATAACAGGAAAAATACTTCTTGGTGGATTAACTACATACGATCAATACAAAATAAAAAAAAAAATCTACTCTGGTTTTGCTGAGGTCATTTAGCACTCTACAATTCTCACGAAGTAAATATTTTTGAAAGTGAATGCCAGAAGCCATAGGTGAATAGGAAACAGACATCAGTAATTACAGTTCGTACTTCAGATACATTTTTTTTGAGCAAATGCCAGAAGCCATAGGTGAATAGGAAACAGACATCAGTAATTACAGTTCGTACTTCAGCTATTTCAAAACGCCTTGCTTCAATGAGCAAGTATTAACTGGACAGACACTCCTTCACAAATTAGAGGTTGCAAAGGCTTATTACACACCGTATTATCTTTGAAACTTGTCCAACAGAATTAAACTAAAAAAAATAATGATACAGATTATGGTTGCAGGCAAAAAACTATTAAAACTTTAACAACTATATATATGTTTTTATCTGTCAAACTGTCCCTGCAGCCACTCTTTGGTGTAGGAGCTCAGGAATGCGGTATTAAGAAATACCAGCAATTGTATTAGTATGCCATTGTCAAACTTCAAACTGGCTGTATTTTATCACAGGAACTGATAAACAATTTATTGCTCGATTGTGTAGGCCTCAGAATGCAACAGCTGCGAGAATATGAGTCTGGACTATCGCCAGATGGGAGCAGAAATGAAAGGGTGCTATACCCACGCGAGTGAGAAGCGTACCATGAGGAGCTTCTACACTGCTTAGTGAAACAGTGTGTAGGGCCATCAACTTGACACTGACCAAGTCTACTGTAAACCCAGCAGCTATCCAACCACCTCTCAGTGTTACAGTACCCGAGTAACAAACTTGGTTACGAGGCCTTGCTGGCAAAGTTTGGCAGATAAGCGAGCTAGCTTTGATCAGGCCAGGTAGCTCAAGATGGAACCCTTGTCCAAAGAACAATGGGTAACTGTGAGAGGACATTCCTCTTCGAAAGTTAGTTCTGCTTGCTCTGGAAAACTGCACTTGGGAAGTTAACGAGGATTTTCCTCAAAAGACTTAAGACTCCTCAGGATATCCAAGAGACTACCATGACTATAGTTGGAAGAAATATGTAATTGTGGTGGAGAAATATTGGGGCAAAACTAGTGCATGCATTTAAGTTTTTCAAGGCTTCTTGGGGTAGGGAGGAGCTTAGGCAAGGATGCCTTTTAACTGTTGCCCAACCCAAGATATCATCAAATGAGCTCCTAATAAATATTTGGCTTCACAACAGATTGGCAGTGAATTAATAATTTAAGTACATTCTTCCAGATACATCATTTCAGTCAGACGAGAAGATAGTGCAAACTTTTCATTTACTAAAAGAATTATTATTACATCTCAAATCTAGTTCAGTATAAGAGATTATATATTTAAGCTGATTAAAAAGGTTTCAGTTAACTGAAACAAGTATTTGGATTATTTTAACATCTTTAAAAAACAGGAAAAGTTAAATCTCAGAACACAGTTCTATTTGGCCAAAATTCACAGCACAGAAGTAGTACTTTACAAAAAGTGTCAGAAATGCAAGGCATCTTAGAATCACATCAGCAATTTAGGAGGATGTTTATTAAAGGTATAGTTATGCATTCATTTATATATTATGTATTCAGACAGTCTCTACAAAGCTTTATTAGGCTTTTGTATTTTCCCTGTTAATCAGGTTTTTTTGAACATTGTATAATTCTGGGAATTAACTGACATCCTACATGAATACTTTAGGTAGATCAAAATACTTGAAACGTGATCAGTTTTGTTCATGGCACAAGTAACCCAATGCAAATACTCTGCATACTTCCTAAACAGCTACATTATTAAAGGCCTAACATAATCGGTTATTTTAAGTGAAAAATATTACAAGTGGCTGGGTATGCACTGCTGTGACAAATACAACGTGGCAAGCTCTTAGACAACAGCCGGTTTTTGAGTGTTTGGATTTCTTTTAAAGCACCTTTTCATATCACAGAGCACTGACCCTTACAATTAGATCAAGATCCTTGACTAATAAATGTTGTTACTATTAAGAGCAACTATTACAAGAAAACGTATAGCATCTGTTTAATATACACGACTTGAAAATGTTTAATGGAATACTGCTGACGTTTTCAGCACAAAATTATCAGCATCACTCTGCTCTTCAGTATACAACAATCAGAAATATCAGCTGTCATTAACACTCACCTGCCAGCTGCTTAAAAAAGTAACAGAAATTATGGACAGAGTGTCTAAGTTTTGGACAGGAACATTTGGAACTGAGAAAAATCTCCACGAAGGTTCATAGTGTAATGTTTGTTTATGAAAGTAAACATGAAGTTTACCTTTGTAATCACTTTCCAAAGAAGTATCATTTGCTTCCTCCCACACCAAAGTTTCTAAAGCTAATATAGTTTGTAAACCATAGTGTGAGATTTATGATGTTATACTGCAGAAACCTGTTTAGCCCCTGATTTACAATCCTGGCAATTGTGTTCAACTCTGTCATCATAACTAATTACAGCTAACTGCAGATTACCATATTGCAAACTCTCATCTTTGTGAAAGAAATACGATGTTCTCCTAAAAAAGAAAAGAACCAAACATCCTGAGGGCTAATGAACAAAAATGCACTATTCCATGTTGGACTGCAAACCTAAACTCTTCGAACTGGTGCCGTAAAACTTCAAATTGCTATTTGTTGGCAAGTTGTTTTAGCCTCAAGTACTTACACAGTAAATCACCATTACGCTAATACCATACCTTTGGCCTGAAACACATTAATCTTGGTTAACAATAACTGACATTTACATTACCAATTCAATTCAGGTATTGTGGTGACTAAACATATACGCAAGAGCTTCAGGGAAAAAAGTTATTAGTTCTGAATGTGTCCTTACTTTTCACCGAGAACAATTTTTAAGAAACATTATCATCAATTCTTGTTATAATCTTATAACATAAACATTCAAATCCTAATTGATCTGTAAAACATTTGACTTGGAGTAAAACCTACATTTGTTTCTTGGGTGCAGCTAACTGTAAAACATAACTATTCAGATATTTTTCAAAATACGTATTTCTATACTTTATCTGCTCAAAGAAACTGGGACTTCTAAAACTTGAGTTCTTGGGAAGGAAAGCAAAGGAAAAAGGGAATTTGAAATATTCTGAAGAATATGGCACCTGGACACATCAAATAATACCAGATGCTTGGCCACATCCAGATGCTTGGGCATCACCAGGAAAAGATGGGCTTCTTCAGCCCATTTTTTTCTGTTTACATTTACTAAGTGCATAAATACATAAATAATAATAGTTTTAAACAGGTAGGGTGGTTTCGTTTTTCTTTATTTAGCAATCCTCCAAGCTTTCAAGCAATTAGAAAAGTCGTACTTACTGCATTAAGTCTGTATAACCTTAGCAGGATAACTTAACCCTCTCCTTATACCCACGCATTGTAACTGCAGTGCAGCTCAGAACACATTTGGACCAAGCACTTTATTCCAACTTTAGAGAGTTTTCTACCACACTCCAAATGCGTTCTACAATGCATTATCTTAGATTTTCCTATTTTGGAGAAAAATACTTATTTAATGTAGTATTGATGTTTAGATAGTATTTTTGCTACATTACAAGATACTGCAGTCTAATAGCATTAAGAGAAAAACAAGGAATTTGATGTGTTTGGTTTTGTTTTGGGTTTTTTTTTTGTGTTTAGATTTAAGAAGTCAAGTAAAAACAGGTACTTTCAAGTAAAAACAGGTATTTAACTCCTGGGGAAAACAGGATGGATTACATATATCCCATGTTGCTCTTTGTTTCCCATCTTTTCTTGGCTTCAAATCTGAAAAAGAGCACAAAAGCCACAGTGGGAATCATGAGCATATGTGTTTCAGGTATTCAACCACACTATTCTTAGTAACAACAAAAACTTATTTTCAATACTGTAATAAAGACATGAAGACAAATGTAGCCACATAACCAATACATTAATTCTGGTAAAGCCTCTGTGCTTAAGTCTGATCCATTGCTAAAAAACCCCACAGAAAAACCCCCCAAAACTCAACAAGGTTAAACTAAACAAATAAGATTAGCACAAGCCTATTTCAACTAAGAAAACATTTAACTGAGATTGTATTGTATACACTTCGTGCCAATGAAACCGCAAATGTTTAATTCCACACTCAAATGACTTACCCCCAAGCAAGCTTCTTTTTCTTTCGAGCTTCTTGGGCAGCCTCTGCTTCTTGCTTGGCTTTTACAAAGTTGCGGCAAGCAGCAGCTTTGGCAATTTTCACACCAAGCTAAGACATAAAAAGGAACAAAGGAAGACTGAATAGATACAAATGGCTCATAAGAAATTTAAGGCTCACAAACTGCTTGGTCCGATATTGTTTCTCAAAAGTGAACAGATATTAAAATACCTTTCAGATATTAGGTTGATGCTGTACTATTAAATCAGACAAGCAAGAATGTGTCTTGAGAGAAATACAGAGGAGTAGGATCCTGAGGCAAAGAAACCTTTTCACCAAATCCTTCACTTTGAAGAATAAAAGGGCAATGTCCCACTAGATCCTTTTGGTTGTTTTTTAAATAAATATATAGACATAGATATACACACACAGAGTCCCCATTATTAAGACCAGTCTGTGACCTCAGCTGTGCTAACAGAACAGTATCAGGTCCTACCAATACAAAAAACACCCCATAAGACAGTTTTATACAGGAAGAAATGCTACTACCACACATTTTCCAGTAGTACCAGTAGTTATGTTTTAATCAGTCTGTCCAGAAAGTAAATGAAGCAGTGTCCTTAGAGTCCGTATGGCATTCAGTCTTCACATTACCAGCTTTTAGATTATTAGTGTGATAATATGCATGCTTTTCAAATAAGGTTGCACTAGGCTGTAAGTACATACTACTTTACTTTCATAAACTTATGTCAAGGGAGAGGAAGAAAAATAAAAGCAAGCACTGTGAACTATGACCAGATTATCTTCCTTAATCAGCATTCATAAACTGTTCATTTTAGTTACAGTTTGCTGTCAAGACTTGACATTATCTTCAACCAAATTATGAATTATAGAAGAATATGGTCTCAAAAATTACCGCGTTTCTCCAAGACAAACAAGCAATTCATTTTGCCAAAACTGCTACAATCTGTGATGCAGACAAACAGGTTTTCTTCCTATGCAGTCCAAACCTACTGAAGTACTGTTTCTGCCTGGATGTTCTGAATTTTCCCCAAATGTCATGTGAGCATCAAACAAGTGAGAAATGGGAAAGTGAGAGAACACTCCTTAATACTTTCATTAAAGTTCCATTATTAGTGGTAATACACTTCAATACCTGCGGTGTCTATACAGGCAATTCTTCCTTACGCCGAGAGATGTTTTACCCAGATAAGCTGAGAGAGAACTCAAGAGCGCACCTTCAGGTGTAGATGCGCTGACACATCTTGTACAACTCTCCCATCAAACACCTACTCTGTAGGTAGGTCGGTACCCTGACCATTTTATTACCAAGGTGAAACAGCATCACTGCAAACAATTCTACCTTATGCTCCTTTCAGCTTCAAGAACCAAGAAAGCAGCCTTTCTGCAGCAGGCTTTGAGAGTCCACACGCACGTAGGCGGTAAGCACAACATCAGTTTGTGCTTTGTTTGAGGCTCTCAGCACTGGCAACACAAACAGTTAAAAGGTAAGCATAATGTATGAAAAGGAGAATGTGCAAAATAATGCTAAACAAGTTTTTCACCTACTATTTGCGTGTGTCATAAGGTCATAAATATGTACCTATGGAATCATCTTGATGCACAAAATAATTGAAATGTCTGGTGACATGAAAACTTTTGTTATTAGCTACATCATTATTCCCCTGAGCATTAACATTTTATACAATCAGTAATTCAATGCCAACATCTGAATTGCCCAATCTCAAGTCAAAGACTAGAACATAACATTCTTTTATTGGCATTGTTGCTTAATATTTAAGGGCAGCTATTAACTTTAATATACTTGCAGCACAAAAATAATTGAGAACACTCACCTAAAATATTCCTAAAATGTTTACTTGTTAGTTGAAACAGGAGTAATTATTAGCTCAAAAATAGAGCAATCTGATGGCTGAAGTCAGTCAATCAGCAGAACCATGCCTTTATTTTGCAACTGTATTTTACCTCCTAACATACTTGAAAATTGACTCTTGCTATGTGATGAATAACAGCATCTCCTTAAAATATATTCTAGTGGTCTATTGAACACTTATGCAAATACAAATATACACAAGTGAGGTCTATACAAGCGCTGCAGAAAAATCTTTTGATCTGTATTTCTTTGAAGACAGAATGAGTTCTTCCATCTTTGAAAAGTACGGAAAAAATGGGATAATAAGATCCTCTGCACAGTATGTAGAAGGGGAAACATTTTGCAGCATTCATGTTATAATTTCTAGGCTACACAGGGTCAAATTTTCAAGACGTGAAAACGAATATGTTGCATATAAACACACAGAAACATTTTAGCCAGATTAAATGTCTTCTGGTCAATGGATTTTACATTAAAAACCCCAAACATTTCAGGTCATCAGATAACTCAATAAAATACAATCTTAAAAGAAGTAAGAAAGCATGAATAAAAATATATACAACAATTTCTTGTGTAGTCAAAGTATCAGCATTTTCCATATAGAACATCCAATATTTTGCTGCATTTTAATTAAGGTGTCTAAACATTATCACAAAGAACTGCAAATTGGTCAGAGCACGCAGTAAGGAAAATTAAGCTCTAAAGGCTTTTTATCACCATATTTCAGGAACCAAGGGTGTAAAATGTTCTAATTTGGGATATATTAAAAGCCATAAAAGGTCTTTCAAAAAGATTAATGGTACTTTGCTTGGATTTAAGATAAGGGCTTTAGCTGGTTGGAAAAGCAGGGCCCTGGCTAGACCCTTGAGGCATTCATCTTTACAGCCACTTGGAAGATTTGTAAAAGCGTCTGCATAACCTCAAGCAAACGCACTGCGACATTTTTTTTTTTTAAATTCCTTTCAATTTTACAGGTTTAAAGTGTGTAAATCATACTGGGTAGTAAAGCTGATATAATGGTTCATCCTTGTAACACAATATATGTATTTTTAAGACAAACTTAAAAAACAACTTAGTTTCTACAGGGTAAGGACCTTTCGATTTTGAAGATGACTGATAATCATGTCAAATATCTTACTCTAGATGTTTAATGTAGCATAAATCAAAATTCTTCATCTGTTATTTTTCATAAATTTCCTACTCATCTGAAACTGTTACCTTGTAACAAATTTCTGAAGCTTTGCTTCTTTTTGAACAGTTTCAAGGCATTTATTTAAAAATGCCAATTATCATACTTTAACTTTTTAAGGAATAACAGGTTTCTATGAAAAATATTTATGCCATTCTCTTTTGTTCTTTAATTAAATGAAAACAGATGTTTTCTGAAGTAAAGCGGAACCATTACTGGAGTACTTAAAGTGTTAAGGTCTTTAATTTTTATATCAGTTTGGTCTACAATTCCTGATTGTCTTTACTCAAGCTCAACATTAATGTCAAGCAAGTTACCTAGGAGACGAAAGAGATCAAAGAGACAAAAAACCCTCAAATGTCTGATTAATCAAGCCTGCAAACAGCTTATTTCTTTTAGCCTGCATGCAAGTATGAAAATGAGATTCTGGAAGCCGTACATTGTGCAGATTTGTTCATTCTTATCAGAACAAAGCCAGCGGCAGCTTATTTCATGGATCATTGGCACTGTCATCAGTGCTACACAGAACGGGTGACAGCTCCTCATTTTGAGGCTTGAACAAAATTAGCAAAAAGTCGGCACAAATTAGCCTCTCATCTTTTTAGTAATATGACATTATTCATTTACTTTTTATCCAATTTTTAATTTTTTCCTTGTCAGCTATCCCTTTCTAGTGTTTCTTGCACAGCATCATAAAACACTTTTAAAACAAGCAAAGAAATGGCTGAAGTTGAAACAGTATGTAAAGTTCAGGCAGAAGAGTAAACATTTTTATTAAGTTGCAACAGAATCTACTGTAACTTCCAGAAAACTTCCTTGAAAAAATCACGACATTTAACATTAAGTATCGTAAAGCAAAGACCTTCCCTTAAGACAGCGCTGTGCAATGTAAGCGCTGAATGCTACAAGTAATGAGACAACAGATTCAAGAACTGCTCCAGAAATAATTAGGTATGATATACAAAATGCGAAGCCTCCAGTAGCTCTAACAAAACATCTATATTCAAACAGGTCCTGAAATATCCTATGATCATACCAGAGAAGCCAAACAGCCTTTTAATACAGTGTTACAGTTTCTCATCGAATATGAATCTAGTTATTTCAGGCTTGCCTTTAGCAATGATTTTCTCCTTTTATGTTATGGAATGTTATCCGTTGCTGACGTATATAAAATATATAAAGCAAACAAGAATACCAAGTGGATTTTGCAATAAAAATCGTCCCCTTTCAATGATGTGCTCAACTTCCACTGTCAAATACTTTGTAATACCTTTGTTGTATTTTTTTGCTGTGTATTACAGCATCAAATTATATTTGGATGACACAGTAATGGACCAAGGACAGAAAACTGTTCTAATATTAAACAGTTCTAATATTGCTGGATTTAAACATTTAAATCCAAGTAACTTCCTCCATTCATGAGAAAATACAGCATTAAAAAATTAACTATAAGCTGTTAGATGCTTTACACAGCCCCCTTATAAGAAAGGCAATTTTAAAAAAAGAACTGTAGTACTGTTTTCAGCAATTTCTTTATCTCTGTTCTTCTAAGTAAGAAAGCTTATTAACAAGCTTTGAACTTAAAATCACATTTACAATAATGTGCCATCAACAGTTTTATAAGCTAATTAGAAAAAAAGATTAATTAATGACTGGCTGCTAATAAAATGGCAATCATGAAGAAAGAAACCAAGGGTGCTAAGCTTCAACTACCACCAATTAAGAGCTAATTACAAACAAATTATATATGTGTTTTGCTGTGGGCTTTAATTTACTAAAATGGTTTTAATTAAAAGAGAAAACATGCTGATTAATTGAACTGCAGAAAAAATCTACAGTATAAACTGTGCTTTGTCTGTCTCTTTAATTAGACTTGTAACATCTGAAATCTTTTTTTAAGGTTTGTTAAGGAAAAGATATACATAATTAAGGGAGCATAAGAATATAATTCTAGGTGACAACCCTGCCATGTTCCAAAGGTTAAAAGAAAACAACCTCCATGAAGACAGATATTCGGAAGCACCTCCA